TAGATGCAGAGGGATTAGGCAGTTTTTCCTCTCCCAGGGAGCCATTCTGTTGACATGAAACTCACTGAAAGAGTGAGGCCTTTGGCTGTTTAGATCAAATTCATGTTGTACTGCAGTACAGAATCATAATGAAGAAAACCACAGGAAATGTAGCTACTCTAGGGCCTCAACTGCCAGTCATCCTTCCTTGCTCATGCCAAAGAGAAGAAGCAAAGTTGTCAGAATAAATTATGATTAAAAGAGGAGGTGTCACAGTAGATTATTCAGCTTTGCAGAATTTTTCATAATACTATATATCATAAAACTTAGTCTTTGAAATTCTAGACACCTACTTTCATTATTGTCTTTATTACAGAGTGATAAAGGCAGGGCAAACAGAAAGCATCAGTTTAATTTGGTATGGAAACATTCATTTAAAAAAGATGTGAAAAAGGAGGCGACTCTAGCATTAGGAAAATTTTGTGCAGTTCTCTTCAAAATAAGTTACTCTATAGTCAAGTGAAAACTGTGAGAAGTTAGATTTGAGCTAAAGAATCTGATGTTGGTCCCAGTGGGAGCATGAAAAATGTACAAGAGAACTGACTATTGGAGATTTTTCCCTGGGGTTTTCTTTCTTTGCTTAAATTAGATACTTTAGTTTCTGAAGTGCTATCATTTGATGCTATGTTACCCACTAAACTTGGAAAGGTTTGTTTCTTGGAGTTGAAATAGATTGATCATATGGGGAATTATCTGGGACTTTAGGTACCTGAAGAAATTATTTGTACTCTTGAGTATGAAGAATAGCACCATAGAAACATAGAACCTGAACAATCTGGGGTCTTGTTTCAATTTCATTGCACGATGCACCAGCAGTATACTTAAGGAATTATTTTGAAGAAAAGTCTGTGGGTTTGTGTCTATTTACAAAGCATGATACAGTGAAAATGATATTCCTTTCCATATATTTATGCCAGAAATTCAGCCTAAATGTCTGCTGTAAGACTTGATGGATTACTGAAAAACTGGCAGGCTTTTGTCATTAGGAAATGCAGATGATATAAAGAAAAGAAAAAAAGGTTAAAAATCCAGTGGTCTAGCTATGGTATCTTGTTAAATTGTTGTGAAAATAACATTTTTCATTGCATAGGATATTTTCAGAAGAGTTTAATTTATTTTCATAATATATTAGACAGCTGAAAACTGCAAGGTCTTCTTTAAATGTTTAAAAACTGGTGAGTATGTGGGATCAGGTCTTTGGTCAGTCCTTTAGTGGATACGTTCTTATGGAAGGTATGGTGTACACTTTTCTGGTTGGTCAGAAACAGGTGAAAAATTTTATTTGCATGTACTAAGAAAACCCTTACCAGACATCTGAGACTGCCCAGAAGCCCCACAGGAGAACAAGGGAAGGCCTGGAACTAGCTTTCCTGGTGGCTTCTATGTTAAAAGAGAGATAGGACAGGAATGGTTTGGATTTTTAAGCATTTTAAGCTTTTCTTGTGCATTCTAAAGAAAAACACTAAGCCAGAAAAAAAGTTTCTTCCTTTATAAGCTTCTATGAAGACCTGAAAGTACAATTTAATAGCAAGAAAAAGTAAATTACTCTTACAAAGAGTTTAAGTTGAGAGCTGCTTGTATTTAAATTTGAAAACACAACCCTTTTCATACAAATCAGTTTGCCTAAAGCTAGAGATGAGTTGACTGTTTGTCATAAATGCCTAAAAGTGATCTCAGTCAACAGGGGCAGATTTTGAAACAAAATACACACATCCAGGTGTATGTAAAATTGTTTTAAGTTTAGCAGCAGAGTATTTAAAGTGTGTGTGTTGGGAAAAAGGCAGTAAAAACTTCTGTATGCAAAATAAGGGTTTAAATACTTGTGTCCTGTGGCTATGTATTAGTTTGCAGTGTTGAATTGGGTAGGCATTGCATCACTCCTGGCACAGTCAGCAGTGGAATAATCTCTAGCAGTTTGCATATGGCTCTGAGGCTCACAACCTGCTGGTTTCAGGCAATTCTAGTCTTTATCTGGAATCTGACAAACTATGAATCTCTTGTATGGCAAAAGGTAATAACAGGGAGATGGAATCATTCCCAGATGGTCTGCTGAATCTTCAAATGCAAAAGCTTTACTAACAGTACTGGGTGCATTCACTCACTGAGCTATGAAAACAAATTAGGCAGGTTTTCTGTTTCCTTTTAGCTTGGCTATTTGCTGAAGTAGCTGTTGTTTCAGCCTAGTGAATGTATTTCCTTTAGCAGAGGACAGCAGATGGTTGATTTTTTTCCACTTGAAAGTTCAAGAAATGTAATAATGTGCATTGTTTCATTGTTTTTGCTCTGTCCCACACATTCCTGGAAGGTCACGCAAGGGAGAAATATATTTTAACAGAGCTAAGAACATAAAGGCCTCTCTTTTCCTTTGTTCCCTTTCCATTTCTTTTATGCAGAAACTCCAGTAATTGTTTTGAAGGCAAAGACATATTTATGTGAAAGACCATTGCTGATGCAGTGCTGAGCAGAGCAGTGGCAATTTCCTGCCTCTGAGGCTGAGCATGGTGTTAACTCATAGTGTTCTAGTTTCAGTTGTTCAAATTTCCCTTTTGTCTTCAAGTGCAAAAAAATCCAAAAACCTACCCAAACCCCCAAAATTTTGCAAGCAAGTTTGGGTGAAAAAACAATCCAACACATTGAATAGAATCTAGAGGCTAGGATAGGAAATATACCTAGGTAGTGTAATGGGCCAAGCTTGGCTGTTCTGTGTTGTGAAGAATTCATGACAATAACATATATCCTTATCCAGAAAAGTCTTGGGGCTTCATTTGTTCATATTTTTCAAGACTCAACTGCATTTGAAATGTTATGGCCTGCTTTTCTTGAGCTGCTCAAACTATCCTGCAATATTATAGGGGTGAGAGTAGGTAAACACATGAGGAGTAAAGAATAAAATAGAAACACATGAATATTTTAGTGTGCTTGTTAGAAGCATTACCGTGTAGAAGTTAGACAGTACATGTCCCATAATTAGGCTTTTTCAGAGACAAATGCACTTTAAACATGGGTAACACTGCACAGCCATTAACTGTTTCTTAACATTAAGGGCCCGTTGGCAACTGAAACTACAATACTTACTGAAGGCAATTACTTCAGGGCTTCACAAGAGTTAGATGGTTTTTCTTCAGGTGTATCTGATCGATGGTAGACTCCACAAACATTTAGAGTGGCAGTATACATATTTATTACCATCTCTTTAATGTACTTTCCCAGTGTAGAGGGTTTTTTCCCCCATGGCAGTTTAAAGAAACATTGTATGCCAAAGAGACCTTTTGTAAAATAAAAAGCACTCCTGCAGGAGTGATTGCTGGCAGCACAAATTTTGTAGCTAGCCTATGCACAAATTTTGCAGCTGCCTTTTTTTAGTAATGTCAGAAATTCTGAAAACGTGTGTTCAAGGCTTTCTGTTGGCAGAAAAAAAAATTTAGAAGCCCTTTTCTTTTAATTGCATGGTTGTGGTACCTTACTGCTAGTTTTTTTCTGTTGGGTTTTTTTTTTCCTCTTTTATGTAGGTAGTTTTTTTACATTTGTATAGTAACTACTCTGCATGTCCGATCACAACTTTTGCAAAAACACAGTTTAACAATTTGAAACAATCCATAGAAAAGATAATCCACACTTCAGTGATGATTTCATAGTCCTCTAAAATTTACAAAGCATTGAGGAAAATCATGAGGATTTGGCATTTTAGTGAGAATCTAGGAAGCAACTTTCCTTTCTCCATCTACATGTAAACTGCTATTCACAGAGCACTATAAATTTCCTCTAAGGAAGATGTGCAGTGGCTTCTGCATCCAGAATACCTCACTAGCAGACAGCATCAAACAGAAGCAGGAAAGTTGAACTTTGGAAGTTACGGTAAGGATTTCTTTAAATAGATAGCAGTAGGTATTATTAGTGTTGTGCTAATAATCTTTGGGATCCTCCTGCTTTGCTTTCATTCTGCTCCAAGTGTCAGATTTCATCTTTCTTTAGAAATATGGGAATTTTGCTATGTGTAACTTTAATATTAGGTGTACTTGGAGGGGCAATATCAAACTTTATCTATTAAGGATCATTTAAAATTGTATTTCAAGGTAATAGAACCTGGTTCTATTCCCTTCATTAGAGGCTTGATCTCCCAACATCAAACAACATAACCTCTCTTAAAATCCAGTGCGGTTCCAATGACATAGCAAGGCTTTTAGGTGCAACATATTTTCTTCAATAATCCCAAATATACCAAATATTCCTTCCTGCACTTGGTTCCATAGCTATAGAATGACAACAGCCTTGTCGACTACATAAAATTTTGAATTTCTCAGTGAAATTTCATGGGAAATATTATGGTCAGAAGAATTTTCCAAAAGCTCTTGGGCGTGACCAAAACAAACTTTTTTGAAGCAAGTTAATATGCTAATGAAGGACAGAGCTGTGCATGCACACAAGTGCACTGTATTTAGTATGGTAAAGGAATACAAGTTTACAGATCTACTCTCACCAAAAGGATTTAGGAAGCATTTCAGGGAATTGGATTCAATGATCCTTATGGGTCCCTTCCAACTTGAGATATTCTGTGTTCCACAGAAAAGGAACACCCTGCATAATATGTGATCTCACTCATCACAAGAATGATGAAATATTTCTATTTCAAGCTATAAGGAAAGAGATAGATAAAAACTATTGTGCTACTCCCTTAACGAAGGGGATGGTGGTAGTGAGGGATTCGTTTATGTATTTTTGAGAGGTACCTTGAAATAGCCACTTGAATATATCACAAACACTACTCAAATACTTGCATAAAGACATTTTATTATTAATGTATTGTAGAGAGAGAATTTTTATTCCTTTTTTTTTTTTTTTTGAAAATCTGAGATGCTTATATAAACAGACCCATATTGGCTGAATGGCAGTTAGTTTGCAGGGCATGACAGTGGCTGAACACCCTTCAGCTCCAAAGCTTTGCTAAAGTTAATCTCTTGAGGTTTTGCAGTACCCTTGGTGAGCTTCAGAAATCGAATACATCCTTTAAAACGGATATTAGTAGTCAGCCCAAACTGGGTCACACCATCTGAAGGAGGGGAGAAAAAGGCAAGAGGAATTATATTAATTAGTTTGAGTTGATACTTAATTTCATCCTTTGAGAGTCCTGCAGGAGAACAGATGTCCCCAACAATATATCTATTTTATTTGCTGTACATATTAATTATTAAAAAATTATAAACATTGAGTAAATGTGATAAATAATTATATTTTATAACAGCCCAATCTTCTTTTCTTTTTCTGTCCTACTATGACAGTGACAAAATCTGAATGCATTTAAACTGCCATTGTAAACCATGTATGCAGCTTGCTGCCTACAAAGGTATGATGCATACCTGCTACTCCTGCAGATCTCCAACCTCTCAAGTAATTTATCCAAAGAGGGGAAAAAAGGGGCCAAAATGGATGCAAATCTCAGCCCTAACATCATGAGAAAGACAGTTCCTCAGTATGGACTTGAAGCCTCATTTATGGACTGGTTTTGACAGTTTTCAAGCATTCCAATTTTTTTCCTTGCTGATAGTAAATCCAGGGATTTGAGTACATCTCTCCCACTAAAGAAGGAGGGGATAGAAGTGAGGGTGGTTTGACTGGGAAGCTGGAAACATTTCTCTCACTGACTGAAATTCGGGGCCCAGCTTGTTTCTTAGTATTCTTCCACATGAAAAAGTGGCTATAAGGAGGCACTTTGATACAATTGCATGTGACTGGTAAAAGATGGTTGCAGAAAAAACTACACCTGTAGAGGACCGATGGGCCATAGCATTATTCTGTTCCACAAAGAATGAGATGGCTGAATCCATCTGTCTCTCCCTGCACAGGGAAGAGCGATACTAGGAGATGCATAATAGCTTTCATGGGTTCTCACGAATTCGTAATCTTGTCCGTGCTGTTGTGGTGAAAATTTTCTCTGCACAGGAGATTCTCCATCAGCTAATTGTAGCTGGTTTACAATCGCTTTACACTGTTTACGCAGCCAGGAGAAGCCTCAAGAGGACTGAAAAATACAAATGCTTGCTAATTTTACAAAATCCTGTGATACTGTGTTTGGAATTTGTGATTAAGCTGTCCAGGTATTGGGAATATTAAAACAAACCTTGGGTGAACTACACTAGACAGCAAAAGAAGTGTGAAGTGTCTACATGTGCAGCAGGTTTATTAAACAATTTGATAACTTGCCAGGTGGCTGAACTCGGGAATGTCACTTCGACATGATGTAAGTGTAGGCTTGTTTTGCACAGATTGCAGTGTTACCATGATTTGTTTTTCTTGCTATGTTTGTCTTGACACACAGTCCAGAAAGAGATAGTAACTCCATCTGCAATGTTTCTTCAGTGCTAGCTCCTATGCTAGAATTTTGTTTTGTTATAAAAAGGTTGCTATAAAGCTGTTTTCCTCCTGCACAAATTTGTTGATCCTTACCCATAGTCATTGTGACTGAAGTACAACTCTCATTATCTCAGTATCAAGGACATTTAAAAAAAATGTTCTGAGGCTTGACAGAGAGGGCTTTTTGGATGCACTGTAGCACAGACTGGAATGGGGGGAAAAAACAACTTCCAGAAAATGATTTAGCAATTAATTCAGAGGTGTCTTGCCATTGTGTATGCATTACAGTAGACACACATTGCAAACATACTTTGCTTTTTTGTTTGTAAGCTAGAGGAAAACTTGAATATAAATGAAACAAAATTGGTAGTTGGCAAACATATTAACTCTGTTTTCAAAAAGTATTAACTCTGTTTTCAAAAAGTAAACTGCTGTTAGATAAACGTATTGATTGTCTATGAAGAGATTAATAATATTCATTATCAGCTGAGTGGAAGATGAAGCTCGTTGCAGAGTGCAGCTCAGTTCTTGATCCTGTTCAATTACCTCTGCACAAGGCAAGTTCTCTCAAGGGCTTCCAGAATACTGATTAGCAAATTTTGGTGGATTTTTTTTCCTTTAAAAAACAGCTGATCTCAAAAAAAGACATTAATCAGAAAGAGATGGTGTCTTCTTGCCTCTCTGTTGTCCACATTCCTCAGATTTCACAGGAGGCTGATTTACACACAGGCATATATGCCTTCTTCAGTCAAAATTTGCCATTCTTAAGTTAAATTTAAATTTTCCAAATGCTGTTACTAAACAGAAAGTTTCAAGAGGGAGGCTGTGTGTGTGAGTAGCAGAAGGCAGAAAGTCTGCCTGATCCTCTGTGACAGTGCCTATATTTGAAATGGGGCAAGAGTACCTGTGGGAGTCCTTTGGTATGGCAGATCTTCTTGTTCTGAAGTGCAGCTGGAAGCAGAAACAAGCATCCACACCAACTGCTACAAACTTGGCCAGACTTACCCATCATCTTTAGCATACTAGTCCTAATTGCATTTAAGCCATTACCAAGGCAGTGGTACTAGTCCATAAGTAAAGCATAATTTGTGTGTAAAATACTCACCAGGATAACCTCCGACAAAGACAGGGTCATTAGTGTCTGCTGAGGTTGAGGCCCTGTTTGGGCTGATACTATCCACCTGTCTGTCATCCACAGTCAGCTCCAAACGGTGTTTGATCTTGTTTGCAAGAACCTTGTGCCACTGTCCATCACACAAGCTGCCTGGTGCATCAGGCTCATAGACAGCAGAGAATCTGCCTGCACCATTGTCAACGTGAAACATCACCTGAAAAACATGACATGGAAGTCAGCCAGTTTTCAAAACAGTTCCACAGTACTTTTTGTTTGGTTGTTTGTTTGAAGTCAACATGGTCTGACTGTACTCACCAAAGCTCTAATTTATTGCCAGACGATGTGGATTGCTGTCCCTCTGGGGTCTGGGTTATGTCACTGAGATGTACAGCAATTTTGCATCTTTTCACTTGTGTTTAAGTTGTAATGTTTCAATTTTTTTGGTCTTAGTTTTTGGGTGTTTCACACTCCCTCCCCCTTCCCCGCAGCTCTTTATAGTGACAGATTAACAACTGGTTTTCCAGACTGTGAAATTAATAATAGAAATTTCTTGTGTATATCTTTTATGACAAAGCCTTTCCTCAAAACGCCTCATATGGTCACTAATTTAAGACCTGATGTTGTAGTTTTAGAAAACTCAGGTGTTACAGAATTGTTTAAAGTACCTTTTAAAGTGCAAGAGCCTCTAGATGTATGGAAAATGGCAAGTGCTGCATAAAGGAGAGCCCTGATATTGTTTTAGACACCTTGGGATTGGGGTAGTAACCTTGCATTTATAATACCTGTGCTGTCTAAACCCAATCTTTATAAAGAGACAAAACTGCTTTGCTACTCACTTTTCCACCTACTAATTCGATGCCAAGCCCATCCATTTTCTGGCTGCTGACTCCAAGAAGAACACCATTCATGCGCGCTGTGCGGAATTCAAATTCCACAAGCAGGTCTGTTCCCACTCTGTATGCACCAACTGGGAGAAAAAAGGGGAAGCATAATAAAATGAAGATAAGCTCTTAATACATTATTCCTAATAATTACACAAAGTGTTTTGCAAGCAATGTGAGGCAACTAAATCAGCATTAATAATGCACTCCATTTCATGTGAAATCATGGAAATAACTGTTACGGTGGTTGTGCTTAGTGAGAGACCTTGCTAGAAAGTCTCTCATTCTATCCTTAGGCAAGGCAACCAAAAATGATCAGTGAGAGTTTCACATATTGGTCTCACTTTGCCTCCAGCCAACAGGAGTTAGGTAGCACTGGGAGCTTTTGAAACCAGAATCTCTTCTTTCTCTGTTCTTTGCCTACCAGCTGAATTATTGTTCATTACCTGTTTTGGCAAAGCCTGTTCCATCAAAGTATGTTCCCTTCTGTGCAGTGACAAAGCATTTTCCAACACTGAAGCTGGAAGTTGGATTATCCAGGTCAACAGGTGATTCTGTCATTTTAAAATTCCTGATACAGCCATCAATGCTATAGATGACCTGCAGTCAATATTTCAAACAAAAGGTATAACTGTGCAAAGCAAGCCTGAAGTATGTAATCAAAAAGTACATTTCCTCTGCTTCTCTGCTGGATTTATGGAGCTGAATAAAACTTGAATTTTACATGGCTAATCCTTAATATCTGATTGTAATTGGAATCTAATCTTAGTCATACTGAGGATGAATTACATTACTTTTCGGGGATGTGATCAGAGTCACATCTATTTGGCTTAATGGAGGGGACATAAAATAATACACTGAATAATGAAACATAGCAAATTACATCAGCAATGCAGGAATTTAATGGCCTATACTTTACCTTTTTAATTGACTAGGTTATGGGGCTTGCAAGTAGATGAAGATACTGGATATAGTTCTCTGGGCTGCTGGTAATTTTGCTAGGTGGTTTTTTTCCTTCATTTAATCACTTTAGTGTGGGCCTAATATTGCATGGTAAGACAGAGGTAATGCAGGTACACAGGTTCTAAAATGAACAAAGCCCCTCTGTAAACTGTTGACTGTACATAGCCTGATGACTGTAGTCATAAGGGCCACTTTGTCGGCCAGAGAGGCAGGTGGAGGTGAGGAATGTGCTCAGGTATATGGAGGCTCCTGTGTAGGGTAGCAAACTGCAGCTCTAACTTGGCTTCTGCACTGGGCACATGACTGTGACTCCCAGCAGGTGGTATGTGCACACTTAAAATGGTGGTGTAAGCACACAAGATCCTGCCTGGGGCACGAGTGGGGGAGGCCTTGGCTATCCCATGGGTTGCTGTGGGTGTGACCAAAGCATCCCAAGTAGGACCTCTGAAAGCCACTGACATCTTCCCCAGATCTCCCCCTCCCTTTTCCCCACAAGGTGTGCAGAAGCTACATTTTGGTTCTCAGATTCAGACAAAGGCTTTGATCTTTGGCTTAGAGTTAGGAAAATCTACCCCTGATATCAGTGGGAGAGAGAAAAAATGATAAAAAATGTACTTGGAAGAAGAAAAAGCAGTGCAGTAGGAAGGAGGAAAATAAACATCAGTGTGTAAATTACAGCATAGGAATATGTACAAATACAGAAAGGATAAGGGCATACATGCAGAGAGAAGTCCTGACTCTGCACACTGCCTACTCTAACAGTATCCTGACTAGTAACTAGAAAGAATTTCTAAGAGTTTCTTTTCTTGTAAATAAAAGCTGAACGTACTGCAAAATCACATAGCTCATTACAGCTAAATACACCTGTACAAAATTTTCACAAGAACCTGAGTAATATCAGTGAATAAATGCACTTCTGAGCTGAGCAATGCTTTCTGTCAGATTCTTCATAAATAGAACTTTTTTTTAATTTCTAAGTGAAAGTCATATCCAGATCAACAAACTTTGTTATCAAAAAAGAAAAATGCCACAAAAGAAAACAAATCTTGCCATCTTCACTGCAAGAATAAATCACAGAACTGCAAGATTTGTACACAACTCTAACATTCTCTAAGTTTTTCTCTTTCTTTTTTCCCTATGGAAAAGCAAATCTGGTTAAACTTTAGCATGCTAACAGGCAATATAACCTGTTTGACTTCAGCAGATGTCACATTTTAAGCACTCAAACTCTGCTTTCAGTAAAACAAGCAGGTATCAGTCTTCTGCACTGAAGAGGAAGCCAGCCCACCTATGGTTACATATTAGATTAGTGTCAAAAAAGGCTAAGGTGAGTTTAGAAGAAAGCCCTAAAATAACACATCCTTTCAACTTACTTTGCTTTGGAGCCTTTACATGAAGCCTACGACACAACACTCACTTAACATGTCATGTGGTGTGTTTTACTGAGAATGACTGCAAGGCAAGCACTGGTTTTTACATTCTGTGAATGACATTTGAAGTCACAGCTTCATTTAAATCCCAAGCACATAAGAGTTTCAGGATCTGACATGACTGTTATTGCCAGACTGAGCCATTTATCTGCATGGGTTCCCTCCATTACTTCTGACAAGGAATAACAGGTAAGGATTTAGTGCTATCTTTCTCCTTAGATTAGTATTTGTAAAATACAGATATATTTAAAAGAGTGTAATTTGATACTACTAGTAATTATGTGTTGTGGGTAGTTAAGTATTGCTTTTGTTTTTCAGTGCCTCAGATTTGGTTTGGTAAATCCAAATGGTCAGTACATTTGCCTCAATTTGGGCTTTCTGCACAATCCATTATTTGATGAGAAACATGATCTTACAGGTCAGTTTTCCTTATGGAATACAACTTTCAGATGTAGAGTCGTTACTTATCCCTTTCATTCCCCATCTGTGAGTTATTACAGGGACTTAATTAGTATCTAAGAATTCCTTTTCTGTATTTATTTTGTCCACCCAAACTGGGGGACTCTTGCCTGTCTATAGACTAATATTTGCCATTCTGTAAACATGTTAGGTACAACAGTATTTACTCATGTGCAGTTTCTTTGGGAGTCTGGTTTGTTTCCTTACCAGATTTGTACTTTTGCCTCCTCTTTATCGATTCTGTAAAACCACCCAGAATGAACCCAGACATAGCTACTACTGACATTCCATTTTGTGTGTCTGAATTGTGCTGCACTAGATGCCTGATTTGTTGTTTGCTGTAATTAAATTCACACAAGTTCTGACTTCTGCTTTGAAAGAACCCCCTGAACAGAGAGACAAATAAGGCATGGAAGAAGTTTTTCTCTGATCCTAATTCTGGCATGTCTTGGGAGACTGGAAGAGCTTCAGGAAAATGAGATGACTGACATGGAGTTGTGCAGATAGGTGCAGTAAATGGTCTGGGTGAATACAATGTTCCCAGTTAATTCTACAAAGTTTAGGTCAAAATTATATTAATTTCTCTGGGCTCTCTGTTTGTCAAGGTATCTTCCGTGTCAGCATGGAAGCTGAGCATTTGAGCCTAAACAGTGATAAACTGATATATGCACACTTGATCTGAAAACAGAAGGAGGACAACAGAATTTTCATGGCCTTATTTTAAAATACATTTTCTCCTCTTTTAGTAATAACACAAAATTGATCACCACAGTAAGCAGCAGTACTACTGGGTACTTTGTCTAGGGTAATTTTGGCTTCTGCTGCTTCTTGTAGGATATGCTTTCACTGTTTATTAGCAATCACTGCTAGACAAATTACAGCCAAGAGAAAGGGCAAGTGGTACTCAGGAATGTGTACTCTAGTCGCACAGTGATCCAAGTGGATACAAGTATCTGGAACTTTCCGCTTTTACAAAACAGTAACTACCTCTGCTATTTCTACCTCTTTTCTTTTCTTCAGTAATTGAATTCTGAGTCAGATCTTCCCACTGAAAGAATCTAGTGTACCTCCATTGAGGTCCATTTTGTTCATATTCTTGAGCAGTCTGAGAGGAAAGTAAAACAAAACTGGGAAGACACTGGTACCAATCAAGACATACTCATGTAAGGAGTTAAGATAACATAAACAAACTTGCTTACCGGGCCAATTCTTCTAGTCGTGTAGTTAACGGGCAACCCTCCAACATACAGCATTCCTACAACATCCAATATATCAGCCTTCTTGGGGCTAACAGTCCTGTTTGAAACACCATCTACTATAAGGTTTCCTTCTTGCTTCGTTCGAATTACTTTTATCTAGAAAGACACACAAATGCAATTCAATTACAGGCAGTTTTCTGACAACACAGTGTTTCCAGATTGTAACTAGCCGTGCAGTCCAAAATATATAACAATACAGGAGAAAGTTGTAGGAGTGCTTACAGAAGTATAGCATCAGCAACTATGGGTAATACTTATGCAACAAAGCTCCTGAGCAAGGTTTTGTGTAAACATCTGGTTGCCTTTTAATCACATCTGGTTCAGGAGGCATCGTTACTTTTATTTATTGAATTACTGAAAAGACCTGAAGTTCCTTGAAAAAGCTTCATTGTTATGTTATAATAGGCATGGCACAATTTTTTTCCCCTGGAATCAGTCTGGAATTTTAACTACTGAAAATAGTAAATGCTCAATGTTAATGGCACTGGTTGCAAATCTTTATTGCAGCACACATTTGCAGACAATATTGAGTTTATGATTCCACTAGCTTGGACATGCCTCAGATCATAGTTCATGCTAGAGTAAATATAATATCAACTACATTCTGTTGGTATTATGGCTTTTCTTCAGACAAATAGGTTGTGAAGCACACAGAGGAAGGGCAGTTGCTGAAGAGCTGAGGAAATTCTACCCCAGTAACTGCAGACCAATGTCTTTCCAAAGGTTTATACTGAAATATCTACAAATCACATACTGAACTCCCATGCTTTACTTTACTTCAATCATGTTTACAGGCAACTGTAAATTTGAGATGGATAATTACACCTTGGGCAGAAAGAGGATTAGGTGTGTGAGACAGGAATTGGGAACAGATGCTCTTACAGAAGAGACCTAAACAGATAGCAGCAACATGATGTAGCTTCTATAGGTCTGATGGAAATGTTTTAACCTAAATAATCTGAAATGGAGAAAAGGTTGTCACTAAAAGGATTATTTTAAGGAGAAGCTCTTGCTTTCTTAGAAACAAAGACTGCAGCCTTTTCTTAAAGATGCTGCCTTCCCCCAATCCCCCCTCTCAAAATGGACCTTCTTGTGCTTTATGGAAACTGTGACTTTGACTCTATTCTCCCCTACAGAAATAGGGTCTACAATAACAGGCTGTCTTGTGGAGTGTCAAGCTGTATGCTCAAAGAGCACAGTCTTCCATTAAGAAATACATGCTCCAGTTAGTTCTCTTGGAATAAAGAGAAAATGGCTAAAAAAGCAAACCACATCTCTTCTGTATGTATAAAGGGTCTAGCAGAAAGGGGCCCTTGTCTACTGCCAGTGCTTTAGGCACTATATAAACCAGATGAATGATGACTACAATTTCATTTTTTCACCTCATTAAATACCTTGGTGTAGGGCATTTGCTATCATCAAAAAGTTCATGAATAAAAATCCTGTGAAAATAAAACTCCTGGAGAACAGAGTGGGAATGAAGCAATTAAAGTGTAAGAGAAAATGCAATTAGATTTTTTTCTCATTTGGTGATGAGATGTGGATGGTGAATTTCCAAGTATCTGTACAAAATTCAACATATCTTACAGTATATAACTTGAACAATTACATGTATTCTTTTCTTCTCTGTCTTTATTGGTGCCTTCCAGCGTGTCACCTAATGAATATACTATGTGTCTGCTGTCCTTGGCCCAGCAAATACTAAATTTCATGGTTGTGATATTATTCCTTCTCTTAGCATCCCTATGCCACAGGCATTGAGTATAATGCCCCCTCTCATATTAATCCCTTAATGAAATAATAATCCAAACAAGGTTTACTTGCATGTTACTTCTTATTTTTTCTTTGTTCTTAGCACTATGGGTTAACAATGACATTATTAACCTAGAAACAACTGGCTTTAATGACATATTCCATCATCATGAGCTCATACTCACCTGAGCCCTATTAGGCAGGCAGGAACATTTTCTGCAGTTTCTTACCATGCATGGTTCATATTTTAAATATGTCCAGAAATATGTAAGTCCTGAAGGACAAATTTCAAACTTTTTTTGTTAGTGGAATACATATTCTTCCAACCTGGTTGATTCTATGATTGTCTGATCGCAAAGAATAATTTACCATTAGAGACTACTGTACCTTATGCCACTGGCCATCATTTATTTTGTTGGAAATCATTGTGTTGGTGTCTCCACTCCCCAGATCATAACTGAAGTAAGGCAGACCATTCTTTATCTGAACTGTTGCAAAATCAGCATGGTTGATGCGGGCCATGTAAAACAGCAAGCCAGAATCAGCTGTTGTTCGGACTTCAAACTCAATTGTAAGTCTGGAAATCAAACAAACAGAAAAACAGGAACAATGGAAAAGATATTTGGAGTCAGACAGTAGACCAATTTATCTGCTTTATCTTTTTGTGTTCCTCTAAAAAAACTTCACAGTTAGTGGCTAATATTACTTGTCCATCAGAGTTCAATAAAAATAATTTGGCTGTATGCAAATTGCATTTCACATGTATCTGACCCCTGACATGTGAGTGTTCAGTAGTCCCTTTGCTGTGGAAATACAAAACTGCAACCTTGCCATAGAATTTCAAGATATAATTCTCAGCTACAGCAGCTAGAAAATACCAGCAGTGTTATCTGGCATCCATACACATAATTCTCACAAAGAGGAGAGAGCTGTAGTGACAGCTGGCAAATGTTATGCTTCTAATGAGTTGTATTGCCTGAAGACAGGTTGCAAAACTTTTAAAGATGCAGAGAGAAGAGTTTACAATGAGGAAATAAAACAGTGACTTCTCCCAACAGAAAATGAGGTTGTAGCTGAGCAGGTCTTCTGACCCCTTGGACAGAATGGTAATGCCAAGAACCTCCTCTACAGCAAAGAACCTGTGAAGAAATTATTTAAATTCTCTAGATGCTAAGGTTGTACTGGCAACGCATCACTAACCTAGCTCAAGCTGAGCTGCAAAGTCAGTATCTGAAAGTAATTGATAATATACATGTGAAAAATCATTGCATGAGAATGATCAGGCCAGGATCATTCCCAGTTTTCCAAAATTAGCGTATGTGAAAATATGCAGTACAGCATCCTTACATGGAAAAGTAAGTGTGAGACTGATGAACTTGTAAACTATAAGGCAGCAAAATAGCTTAATGGTGTGACAGGGCACATTTGTTAATGACCACGTGTCTTCACAGCAAAAATGAACAATTAACAAGTTATAGCTTCACAAATCTATTGAAAACAGCTGCATTTTTATAAGTAGTTCATAGAATTCAATTGCATGTCAACATCTGTATGAATATATTGTTATGCTTTGGCAGGGCAATGTCATTTTGCCTGTTTACTGTGCAAGCTTGACCTGAACTGTTGGAGGAAAGGGGAAGAAAGGTTTGCTTCTTAAAAGAAATTATCAAGTTACTGAACAATAAAACCCCTTCCTCAGAAAAAGCAATCTACGAACTCAGTTTTGTGACCTGCTTCCATCCTTCTCTTTGTTTTTCTGCAGATCAGTCTGGGATCTGTGTGCCCAAACCTTTTCAAAGAGGTAAATGTTTTTGTGAGAGCTACTTAGGGGGGCACTTCCTTGCCTAGTTTTCATGCTTTAATACTTTTTCAGGCTTGCTTAATGAAATGAATTAGTCATGGCATGTGATCTTTTTCACATTATATGCATAATTTTAGGAGATGTCTTTGAGAGTATTAGGAGGGGCATTTTACATTATTCCATCAAAACTCATGGCAGAAACAACATACCTGTTTTTCACTTTGGTGTCATCAAATGCAACTGCAATGTGGCTGTTCCTTGAAAGACCAAACTGCTTGCCACCTTCCAAAATAGCTGGTTCTGTGTCAGCAGCACAGGAATCCTGTAAAATATACAGCAAGCATACAAACTTCATATTTTGTATCTGTCTGAGCTGTGCATATACTGGGAGTCTTCCAGCTGTTCAGGGCTGAGAATATTCTACCTAGTCCAGAGACTGGCCCTGCAATTTTCTAGTGTGTTGATGTCTCATCACACTAGCTAAAGTTATAAACCAGTATGACAGGAACTTGGTGTAAAAGCAGAGCTCATTAAGCTGGCTGTAAAAGCAAATAAGAGTAATATATGAACATTGCTGCTCTCATGCTTTCACCAGTGGACGTTTACAAGAGTCTTAAGTGATTTCCAGGCAGCTCTCTGTACTCTTAGCTCTCATAACTGAGTTTTACACAGTAGGATGCCCTCTCACAGAAATGAAACAAGATTTCAGTTTTAAAGGGATGCTTTGTTGTCGACTTGAAATCTAGTCACCTTAAAAATAATGAGTTAAAAGATCCTACACCTGTCAACAAGTCCTCCATTTTGCTTCTTTATATTGTTTTACAACTGTATTTTCTGTTTAATGTGCTGTTGTTTCCCCTGGTGCTGTTGAAAGGCCCCCACAAACAATAAGGGAAGTCGAATAACTGATGGGTAGACATAAGAACTGTTGAACTCCCTGAGCTGTATAATGTAGACACATTACCCAGGGGGTAACGAAAGAAACCACTCCCTGTCCGTTCCACTTCTATTAAACTTGAAGTGGTGCAACAATGGAAGGTAAAAGATCTTCTGCCCACTATAATTTTCTCTGTTTAATTTCACCAGGTCTTTTAATCTCTGGCCCTAAAGCTCTTGTAGAGGGGTGCCTGGGGCAATGGGAGACCACGGTAATTACCAGCTCCTACTCATGTCTAGCTTTCGCCTCCCACTGGGAGTATTGTGAAGAAACTACTCAAAGGATCTAACACAACACAATATCGGGACAATACCACTGGGAAAAATCCAAACTTTGATAGCTGCAAGCTCTGTTTTTAAGCACTGTGGCTGCTATCATTTGGAATTGGCGACAGTCTCTGAGCCCTGACTCAGCAGGGACCTGCAAAGCACAAGGTGCTGTGCCTTGCTGACAAAGTTCTTTCTGTAAAACATTTTGAAAATGTCATGAGTGACTCAGGCATTGAGATTTCAGCCACAAAGAGGAAATTTCTTTCCCCCACTCACTCGGTTTTTTAGTAATGTTGTATTTTTTTGCTTTCACACATCACAAAACTCTTCAAAACAGTATAGAGCACTTCTAAAAATTAGTTTTCCATAATGTTAACACTCTGGTTTGAGTATGACAGAGTAGAACACCATGCATTATGAAAAGTACACATCAATATGCAATGAATGGAATGTGTGATATCAGTCTTCCAGTGGTCATCAAATAGGAAAAAAATCATATCTCCACAATGCGGGGTAAAGTTTTTATTATTTTAACCTTTACAGGCTTATCTAAAAGTTTAACAGCTATGTTAATAATAATAGTAATACTATGCTTATAATGCTTTTAATTACATTTGGGCTTTCTAAAATATGAAGATTGAGACTAAGAATGTGTGATATCAGTCTTCCAGTGGTCATCAAATAGGAAAAAAATCATATCTCCACAATGCGGGGTAAAGTTTTTATTATTTTAACCTTTACAGGCTTATCTAAAAGTTTAACAGCTATGTTAATAATAATAGTAATACTATGCTTATAATGCTTTTAATTACATTTGGGCTTTCTAAAATATGAAGATTGAGACTAACAACTGGTTCTGGAAAGAACAGGAAAACACACTAACACACACACCTTTCTGTGGCACACTTTTACATATTGCATGGTAATAGGACATATGCTGACAGTAAATTCAATCCTAGGCTGGTATATGTTAGTAAGACATCTAAGCCTGACACTAGCTGCTGCTCAGTATCAACAAACACTACACTTTTATTTCATCCCAGCAGGATGACTGTAAGGAAGGGCAAAAAATGGGGAAGAATGCCAAGCACACTGTGATGGCTGGAATCATAGCAAGCATACAGTGATTATTTACTAATAAATACTGATAAGAGCAAACATTAATTCGGCTGATGTGGAAAAGTCAGTAAAAGGAAAAAAAATCAGTAGGGCATGTTTAAAAACTTTTGGGTTTTATTCACAAGCCTGTGCCTGCTTTCATTTTATCTAAGGACAGCCAGCTTTCAGCCTTCACAGGACTGTGCACTACGCATGGATCATCAGCCTATATTAAAATATCTCAGCTCTGTTTTTTCCAGTAATAGCCTTAATGTGTCCTGGTTGCTAAATAATCTCCTATATGACATAAGAGCCTCAAGACTGAACTCTTCTGCTGCACTTTACTTCAGTCTTGTCAGGACTTGACTGGTAGGTCACGAAGCTAGGCATGTTTGGTAACGAAGTGGAGCACAGAAAAGCCCGCTGGTGGACTGTCACACATGCTCTATATTCTCATCTGCTGGATTAGCAATTACAAAGAAAGCAGTTAGTGGGGAAAGGGAGCACTGAAGCAGTCCCCACAGTTCATTGAATACTGTTAATAAAACAATGCAGTAATGAGAAATATTGGCAGATACCGTCATGGAGTCAAAAGCAGAAGTAATGCTGGCACTCTTCAGTTCAGTGGCAAGCGAATCCTGAGAAGCAGTGAACAACATGAGGCAGAAGCAGGAATTGCCCAATGTTGACAAACATTTTGGCATTCATAGCAAGCAGCAGCAGCAGACCGGTTACCAGTGTATTTCCCAACTGTCTTACTTCTGGATTATGTCTTGCTTTCAGTAGAGGGTAACTTTTTTCTCATTTGGGATTAAACTGCCCTCCCCCTTTTATATGCAGATGGATAATGGAGATGAAAAAAGGTCCTTAAAAGACTTAAATAGAACAGATACCTTATTTAAGCCTACTAGGTAAAAATATTTTCTTTCCACTGTATATTTTCCATATACAGTGATGCTACACTGAGATTCTGTATATCTTACTGTCATATGAGTACTATCTCATCTGAGTGTTATCTCACTACCAGGCTGTAGTTACTTCTTTTATTGGAACATTCCTCAAAAAAATACTTTGGAGAACTTACTTATATGAGTGCAACAACTATCCAAAAGATTGCCTTATTTAGAATACTTTCAAGTCTTCAGCACACTAAAACAGTTTCAATTTTTCCACGAGAGAAGTGGAGTACAGGTGTTTTATTTAGATTTTTATTTTGAATTCTTGTTTCAAATCATCATGGCTATGGTGGGTTTTGAATATTGACATATCCAAACCACCGAGTTATAATGGGACTAATTTCTGATATTAATGAGTAGACCTATTCATCTCAATTTTGTTGTTTAAAAGTTAGTGTTTACAGTCCAAGAAAATGTGCACTTGCTCTTTCATGCACTTATGTGGATTTTTGTTTTGTTTAAAAGGC